TTTGTTCACTAGTATACCTCTTGATGAATGCATTGATCTGGCGATCAGATACATTTATCAAGGTAACCCTGGTCTTAAGATAAACGCCGCTGACCTAAAAACGCTTTTTACCTTCGCAACAGCTGAGACTGGTTTCTTGTTTAAAGGTGTGTTTTATGATCAAATAGATGGGGTTGCCATGGGGTCCCCACCTGCTCCAGTACTTGCAAACCTCTTTATGGGACATCATGAAAAAAAACTGGCTAGATAACTATTCACTCTCTGAAGTTCTGTTCTACAGACGCTATGTTAATGACACCTTTTGTTTTTTCAATAGCGAGGAGGACGCGCTCGTGTTCTTTGATTATATCAACGCCACGCATCCTAGTATTCGTTTCACAATGGAAAATGAAATTGATAAGAAATTATCGTTTCTAGACATATTGTTAGACAACAATCATACATCCATCGTCACTAGTGTATATCGCAAGAAGACATTTACTGGCCTTCTTACTAATTATCTCAGCCTCGCCCCTTTGATTTACAAACTAGGTTTAGTCAGAACGTTGATTGACAGAGCATACAAGATCAATAATTCCTGGGTTGGTTTTCATCTGGATGTCAAGAAACTTATTTTCTTGCTACGGAAAAATTGTTTTCCATCTTGGGTCATAGACAAGATCATTTACAGGTATCTAGCGAAGAAAAAGAATCCTCCTACTGGGCAGAACGCCTCTTCTAACTCCGGTAAACCTTCTGCGCACTATTATAAACTTCCCTATGTTGGTCGGTTTTCGAACATCGCTCAGACTAAGTTAAGACAACTACTCAAACGTTATTGTAGAGCTGATTTAGATGTTAAGTTAGTCTTCAGTACGTTTAAACTCAGAAACATGTTCAGTGTGAAAGATTCAGTACCGCTAGGTCTACGTTCGCGTGTCATATATAAATTTTCATGTGCTGGCTGTAATGTCAGTTATATTGGTGAGACCACTCGCCACATTTGTACACGAGTTCGTGAGCACCTCTTGTTGGACAAAACTTCGCATATTTACAAGCACCTGCAATCATCAAGGGCTTGTCTTGACTCTTGTGATACTGAATGTTTCACGATCTTAGATTCTGCCGCTTCAAAATACCAAATTAAGATCAAAGAGACATTGCATATTAAGTGGGGAAAACCTATCCTTAATCAGCAATTGAAACATCTAGAATTGTCTGTTTCCTTTTAATTATGTTGCTCCTTGGTCTTTTATTTTATTATTATTTTTTTTTTTTGATCTAGTCAAGCGCGCGCAATTTACATTTTTCGCGTTTTTAATATTCAAATGTAACGTAACCCCTGACAAGTAATTTGTAACGTACCTTAATATAACTTCAAATGTACAACCGTTAAATGCTCATTTGCAACTGAAGATGACATGAGAATGTCGAGACATGTCTTTTAAATTTAAACTCAAAGTTGTCGTTTCTTTTTTGAGAGTTACTGTCACTGCTGTCTTTACGTCCTTTTGGTAACCAGTTTAACTTAATAATATCCTCGAGACCTGCAAATTTTCTTGTCACAAAGCCAACACACGCATTCTGTAGACGTTGGAGACGCTTTTCTAAATAAACAGGAAAGG